AACCAGGTTTTGTTGTTGATTGGTTCGGTTTGTATACCATATTTTGCTAAATACATATGACCATAAATAAGACCAAAGGAGCTGGGTTAGCTCCTTTGCCAGCTAGGTTGACTTCGTCTCCTCCCCGTCTTGCGGATTTCCGTTATTCAATGGGTATATTTGAGAAGTATACGGTACTAAAACCACAACCATTGATCTTAGCTTGATCGGTTCTTCCCTAGGATTTATACATAAAAGTAAATTGTTTTGTTTAATAATTTTTCATTGCATGAACTTTCGAGACAACAAGTGGACAGGAGTGTAATGTCATCAAAAGTCAAATCAAACACTGTGAGGAACATAATAGACAACGTTGGCTTCTTTCGCAGCTGCTCAACGTTGTCTCTCCCGATGGTCCCAACACTCTCTTCTTCTTTTTTTGTCAACATTCAAACGTTGTTTAAAATAAATAAAAATGTTTAACCTTAATCATCTTTCTAGATCTTTAAATGCCTAAAACTTCAACTTAATCAGTCAGCAATCCGTCACGTTAATGATTTTGAAAGGAAGACTTTTGTTTTGTTTCGGTTAGTTTTGTTTGTTTAGTATTTTAATCACAAGATAACTCTAATTTCCCATTAGAGTTGTGTTAATTGTGTTGATTATGATTTGGCGTTCCAATTCTGATATTATTTTTATGTTGTAAATCTTAAACTGTTACGTTATTGTTCTATCTTCCTATGTGAGAAAAAAGTAAAATGTTTTAAAATTTTGACATGGATAATAATATAATTGTAAATCTATAATAATTATATTATCATTTTATTTATATTTTTCAAAAAGAAATATATTTATCTTAATAGATTTAATATGATAATGTCGAATATAGTTATAAATCTAAAAGAGTTATGTTATTATTCCATCCTTTTATGAGAAAAAAGCAGATATTCTCTTAAACTTTTAAATTAACGTGGATAATAATAAATAAATGATAATTTTACTAATATGATAATGATTCGGTTTTAATCTTACCAAAAAACAAATAATGATTCTGTTTTAAAAATATATAAAATTTTCTTTGTTTAGTTGTAGATATTGTCATATAAAAAATTCTTAGATCCTCCACTGCCTTAATTTTATGTAAATACCTTGCTTGATATTTAATTTTGATTTGATATCATAACTAATCCTTGCTTTTTTTTTCGGCACTAACCATTGAATTTTTTATACTGCCATTTCATTCTTGCATAAAAAGTAATAATTAATAGTAGTGTTTATTATGAATGCAGGTTTATTTTCCATAAAAACTAGATTGGATTTATGGAAGCACGTCATTGTTTCCAGTGCGAGGAAACAAATGTCGTATCACTGCTGTTGTGGCTCTTTAGTACTTTCGTTTCTGTTTATGGCTTTGCTTCGGTTGTATGGTTAGTCATCAATCATTGATCTTCTCATTGTTTGAATATTGTTGCATAGGAAAAATCTTCCTTTTTTATGAATCTTTCAAAAGTTGGATCCATGCTATTCTTAGTGATTGATTACGTTTATTGAATATTTGTGTGCTTCCTCTGCTGATATTCTAATTCATGCTTTATTCGTCGTCTTTGATACACTCTGATTAACCATTGTGGACCTCTAGAGTCTAATTTGCAATATTAATGCAAGTCTCTTTAACTTACGGATTATGAAGAGCATCCTAAGATCGTTTAATTTGATTCAGGCTTTATGTGGCTAATGTTTGGTCTTGGATGTGAATTAGTCTATCATGTTTCTTGGAAGGTAGGAAGCAATCTTGATGTTTACCAAAATCCAATGTGCTCTTTTGTAGCTCAGTTTTGAATTATGTACTAATTATTGTAGAGGGAACCCGAAACAAAGAGACCATATGTATGATTTTATATGCGAAGAGAAGCTCCGAATTTGAAATCGTCTCCACTCCGGTGATATGTGGCCATGGTGTGAAGGAGTCTGGAGCCATGGTTATTTCAGATTCGGACATAACTGTAATTGTTAAACTAATAAAAATAAGATCAAACGTACCGGATTGATGAGAATTTTTGGTGTTCTTCGTCATGTTCTTCGTCGTATGGATCTAACAAAAAAAATATATATATATATATATACCCCAGAATTATTTTTTGTTTGTTAATAGAGAGAACCCACCAATTTTGTAGCGTTGATTGTGACATCGAATTGTTTGTCGGATGAATATAAGTCTCTAATCCGGAGACTGAAGTTGAACCCTAACAAAAACATATATTCATAGCATAAAATTCATAAATAAAAGGTAGAGCATCACATAGCTTTTTCTTCAAAGCCAACACATCTCTCTTTGTAGCCGAATTACTCTCCAGTTTGGTATATACTCAAATTTTCCAATGACTTCCTTCTCGAACCTGGGGCGTTTTTGCTTTGCCGGATATTTTTAGGATATGGCTCTTATGTATCTCTTGTGAGTCACTTGATATGTTGTTTAGGTAAAACTTTTGGTTTGAAAGAGAATGATCTACGACAAGCATAATCGGTTATTTGTTATATATGTGGCCATGTTCATATTGCTTTCTCCACAAGCAATTTTCCAGTTTTGTAGCATTCGATATTTAAATTTAAAAGCTTCAATACGTTGTATACATGTGTATGTATGTACATATATGAATTATTCTCAGTTGCACATAGTGGTTTCTAATGGATAAATACTTGCTCTCTGTAACCCTCTCATTTTTAGTACCTATCTTCAGTGTTTACTTTGCTAAGAGCTTCTTGATAGGCATACATCTTTGCAATCTCAGATCAATATATTACAAATACATATACGATACAGTTAAGAAAATGATATTTCTCTTACAACTTTTTATATGAGTTTTATAAACAAGAGATCAACTGAAGGGTTACGCAGCGACCAATGGCGAAGGTAGAGACAAAGATACTACAATAGGGACGATAAATATGACACGATATATACAAAGGAGATGCCTGTTTCTATACCATTGAAATTTTACGTACATAACTACTTCAAAGAGCAAGATGACTTACTTGATAGGTAAGAGATATGGTAAGAGATTATATTTTTCAATTATTTGTTTCCAACTACGAAAAACTCCAGTGACATACAATCTAAAAGCATGAATATGTCATAAAATCAAGAATACAACAAAAACCAGGAAGATGGGCCCAAATTAAAGTCCGAAACTGGACGTGGGGAACCCACGGACAGTGGCGGTCGGAGCGTTACAAATATGAAAGAAACGAGGAAGCGTGAATATGTCATAAAACCAAGAGTACTACAAAACCAAGAAGATGTGCTCAAAGAACGAAACTGGACGTGGGAACCCACAGACAGTGGCGGTCGTGGCATTACAAATATGAAAGAAACGAGTAAGCATGAATATGTCATAAAATCAAGAGTAAGACAAAACAAAGAAGATGGGCCTAAAGACCGAAACTGGACGTGGGGAGCCCACGGACAGTGGCGGTCGGGGCGTTGCTAATATGAAAGAAACGAGTAAGCATGAATATGTCATAAAATCAAGAGTACGACAAAACAAAGAAGATGGGCCTAAAGACCGAGACTGGACGTGGGAACCCATGGACAGTGGCGGTCGGGGCGTTGCTAATATATTGTTGGTTTAAATATATAGATTTTTTATATTTAATTCTATTATATATATCAAGATATAAACACTAATAATTGTTTGTGATTCAAAAACACTATTAATTGTTGATTACTAATAATATATATCAAAAGTTATAGCGTTTTACCATAATTCTATATTAATGTCGTTATAAAAATTAGACTCTTGACAAAATTAATTCAATAAATATCCTTAACTTGATAACCCTAAATATTAATTATTAATTCTGGTCTCAATCAACATACAACCCCGCGCTGGGCGCGGGACCTCCCCTAGTCTAAAGATATAACATAAAACGTATAGCATCATGATTCCATATTCATAGCATCTGTCCACATGTTCTCTGCTATTGTAGTATTCTTTATTGTTACAAGTAGATTCGATTAGATACTTGAGAATGCTTGATATGAGAGACTGAGAGAGAACTTGAAAGTAAAATCGAGATCGAGAGAGATAGAAAGACAAGAAGAAAGAGAGAAAATTGAAAGAGATAGAAAGACGAGAAAGAAGTGAACAAATTGAACCAGTCGTTGGCATGTTTTTTTTTTGTTTTTTTAACCAAATTTCACTTTTAGAGGTGGTATTGTTTTGTTATTATTTTTGCACTAAAAAAGTGTCCAAAATCTCTACAAATCTATTTTCAGTATTTAAAAAAAAAATTGTGAAGTTCGAATAACAGTGGATTTGCTTTGGTTTTCTAAATTCTTAATTGAATAACAAGAGATTTAGAATTATTTGAAGTGATTTTATATAAATTCCAGTTTTAATAACATAGAATTTGGGAAGAGATTTTAAAATTACTAATTGAATAACAGGTAATTTTAACAAACAAAAAAAACAATCAAAAATTTTAAAAATCACTGTTTGAATACACCCCTAATCTGTGGAAGACAATGTTAAATAGTAAAATTAAGATTGGGCTAAATTTATTTTTGGGCCTCGTGTGACATTTAAATGGCGATATGGCCCAATAGTTTGGATGCGTTATGTAAATTAAGTCCTAGTTGACGAAAAAAGTAGAGAGTCATGGTTTATTTTAATTAAAATCATTTCTATTCATATAAAAACTGAAAATATAAATGATTTTATATAAATTTTACGATCCATCAAGTCAAGACTTTCGAGCATGTATTGCTGCTATATTTTTAAGATCAGGTATAAAGAACTCGAAAAACTATTTGAAAAGAATAGAATATGAATTATGTGAATACGTACCAACTAATGCTAAATGTTACTTAAATTAGCGTACTAAGATGCACCGACTGATCTTCTTCATTTTTTTAAGATATAATTAATTGTTGTCATGTGTTACACATGCAAAATACCCTCTCGTTTTTTTGTAAGAGTCCGCGTAATTCAACTTTTAGAAAGAAAATCTCAACGTGAATCTCAAACATTAAAGAATACCATTAGTTTTTGTATAAAAAAATAGGATTCACCATTTTTTTGTTTTTCATCTATAAGTATCACACATCTATAGTCCATCTCCATCACAAACAAACTATCACATTCGTTTCATTGGCAAAAGAAAATCTATATAATAAAAAAATCTCGAGAAAACAAAAATGGGTAGCCTCACGCGTCTCATAGTCTTCCTTTCCATTTTGGCAGCCATAACTCGAAAATCGAACTCTCAGTACCTTTTTCCAATCACCAAACACGAACCCACCAATCAGTTCTACACCACTTTCAACATTGGATCCCCGACAAAATCTCCCGTAAACCTACTCCTCGACCTCGGAACCAACCTCACATGGCTCAACTGCCGCAAACTCAAATCTTTATCCTCTCTCCGCCTAGTCACTTGCCAGAGCTCCACATGCAAGTTCATCCCCGGTAATGGCTGCGACGGCAAATCCTGTCTTTACAAGCAACCAAACCCTCTCGGTCAAAACCCCATTGTAACAGGCCGTGTCGTCCAAGACATAGCTTCCATCTCCACCACAGACGGCGGCAAGTTCCTCTCTCAAGTCTCAGTCCCCCGCTTCACATTCTCCTGCGCCGGCGAGAAAACCCTCGAAGGCCTTCCTCCTCCTGTCGCCGGAGTTCTGGCTCTTTCTCCTGGATCTTCGTCGTTCACGAAACAGGTGACGTCAGCGTTTAACGTCATCCCTAAATTCTCTCTCTGCTTGCCTTCTTCCGGTACCGGGCGTTTCTATATCGCCGGCATTCATTACTTTATTCCGCCGTTCAATGATAGCAGTTCTTCTATTCCGATGACTTTAACTCCCATTAGAGGCACTGACTCAGGAGATTATTTACTCCTAGTCCTAAATATCTACGTTGGTGGAAGTCCTTTGAAGTTGAACCCTGATTTGCTAACCGGCGGAGCCAAACTCAGCACGGTGGTTCACTACACCGTACTTCAAACCGATATCTACAATGCTCTTGCTCAGTCTTTTACACTCGAGGCAAAGGTATTCAAAATAAAATCTTTTATTTTTATGTTTAAAATTTCGTATTTTTTATTGGAGCTCGATTTCAAAGATGAAATTAAACCACGTAAAAAATACAAATTTTTGTTCAAATTATCTTGGAAAAGAATCTTGTATTTTGATATTCGATGCCGATCACTTGAAGATAAAAAATAATCATATTAATCCGCTCCTATGAACCATGAGTTGGGTTTATTTAATTATCTTATGTTTTTTTATTCCAAGTTGATCCTTGAAGATGAAACCCAAAAAAAAATAAAAAAAATTTTGTTCCTTTAAATTATAACGTTGATAATGTTATTTTTTGTATATAGACTATGGGAATATTTAAGGTTCCATCGGTGGCGCCGTTCAAACATTGTTTCGATGCGCGCACGGCTGGAAAGAACTTGAGGGGGCCGAACGTGTCGGTGATAGAGATTGGTCTGCCAGGGAGGATAGGGGAGGTGAAGTGGGGGTTCTACGGTGCGAATACGGTGGTGAAAGTGAAGGAAACGGTGATGTGTTTGGCGTTTATCGACGGTGGAAAGAAACCGGAGAATTTGATGGTGATTGGGTCGCATCAGCTTCAAGATCATATGCTCGAGTTCGATTTCAGCGGGACGGTTCTCGCTTTTAGTGAGTCACTCTTGCTCCATAACACAAGCTGCTCCACTTGGACTTCCAAAAAATAGAATCAATCACACATGACATGATCATCATTGACTTTTTAGTGAAGAGTTGTTCGTCCATCTAAATGCAGATGAAAAATGATGTTTGTTTAGTCCAATTAAACACATAATCCAAATGGTCGTATTTCTCAAACTCATCGGAAAGATATAAAAAAATCTGAAAGAGTTTAAATGGTGTATTCAGATGAAGATGATTATTTCAAAAATTGTATCTAAAATACTCTCATTTACAATCATATATAAAATAATATTAATTTTCTAAAAAAAAAAATCAAATTTTATTTTAAAAATCACATATTTGCACCAAAACAATTTCTCTAAAATCGTAAAAACACAGTTTATCATTTTTCGTCAAAATCGCAAAATTACGTTTTTTTCATCGAAATCTTTTTGCCGGATTGTGTTTTCGGCCGGCAATAACACAATCTTCTACATCAGTAAAAAAAAAACCCCAAATTAAAAAATCAACATTTCAGAAAAAATAAATTTAATTATGATACACTTTTATGAAATTAAGTTTAATGTATTTTCTGTTATTTTAATAAACATTAATAGAACACGGGTACTAATCTTGTAAGTTTACATATATGAAAGCTAAATCATGATTCATGAGGTAAGATGCTTCTAGCTGGTATCCATCCATACCCCCAAAGAAGAAATATCACAAATTTCAAACTCTACATTACATAAAGAAAAGGTATGTATATATATATATAAATTGTTAATCCTTATTGTAGAGTTCTAGTGTCGGCATTGCTTTAGCCCACATGGGATTTAAGTGTATAAAATATTATAATCCATCAAAGCAAATTGTGACGAATAATGATGGTCGTCTAAGCATATCGAGGATTTTCAGAGTCTCCATCACATGGCTTGCTAAAGAGTCTTAATTACACAAGACATGGAAAAAATAGTAAGTGATTTTTCCCTACAACGTAAGTAAATATATTCTATAAGAAAATCTCTAATATAATTTAGCTTTTTGAAATCTTAAAAAAATAAAGAAGAAATTTGTTATTTCGATAATTAATGAGACCCCGTGATAAGATGCTTCTGATTGTCATACCAAGTAACAAAAACTTACGCAAATGTTTAGAACCTAAATGGCAAAAAGAAACGAAGAGGACCCATATCATATATATGATGGTTAGTCTTAGTAATTCATATCACATCCCCAAGTAACAAAAACACAAAAAAAAAAAAAAAAAAAATGGCTCCTCGTGTGATCTTCTTACTTTTCTCACTTGTTTTCCTCTATCTCGCAAACACATCACACTCTTTGGCTAAGTTCCAATCATTTCTACACCCTATTTATAAAGACAAATCCACAAATATCTACTCGATCCCTTTGTCCATCGGCTCCACTACTTCCAGCGAAGAATTCGTCCTTGACCTCAACGGAGCCGCACCGTTATTGCAAAACTGCGCCACGGCCGCCAAATCCACCACCTACCACCCCATCAAATGCGGCTCTACAAGATGCAACTACGCAAACCCAAACTTCCCTTGTCCCAACAATGTCATCACCAAGAAGAGGACCGTGTGTCGCTCCTCCGACAATGCCCGCCTCTTCAGAGACACCGTCCCCTTGTTATACACATTTAATGGAGTATACACTATGGACAGCGAAAAGAGTTCTTCTTTGACTTTGACTTGCTCTGACGGTGCTCCTACCTTAAAACAAAGAACCGTCGGTCTCGCTAACACCCACTTGTCGATTCCCTCGCAGCTCATCTCCATGTACAAGCTTCCTCAAAAGATGGCTCTTTGTTTGCCTTCCACCGAAGGGTCAAAGACTTATTCTGGTGACCTTTGGATCGGTAAAGGGGAATATTATTATCTGCCTTACTTAAAATAAGATCTTTGCCTCCACGCCTCTGATCGCTAGTGACAAGTCCGGTGAGTACTTAATCGATGTGAAGTCCATCCAAATCGGTGGAAAGACCGTTCCTATACTCCATGGAACCACAAAGATCAGTACTTTGGCTCCTTACACTGTGTTGCAAACTTCCATATACAAGGCTCTTCTCACAGCCTTCGCCGGAAGCGCCAAGATAGCTAAAGCTCCGGCCGTGAAGCCTTTCGGTGCGTGCTTCCGCTCCAATGGAGGACGTGGAGTTCCTGTGATCGACCTGTTGGTGAGGGGAGGGGCTAAGTGGAGGATCTACGGGTCCAATTCGTTGGTGAAGGTGAATAAAAATGTGGTTTGTTTAGGGTTCGTGGACGGAGGTGTGAATCCGAAGAACCCGATAGTGATCGGAGGACTTCAGATGGAAGATAATTTGGTGGAGTTCGATCTCAAAGCTTCCAAATTTTCTTTCTCTTCTTCTCTTTTGCTTCACAACACTTCTTGCTCAGTGGCAAGGTTATCTCCTTTTTAATGATGTTATGAAGGCATATCAATTTCCTTTTTCAAATAAAGTAATGTCGACGAGATGTAGCAGTGTTGTTTTCACTTGGTTGATAAGAAGGTACACCAGATATTAATTGCATTCGAACACCGACGATACAAAGATAATTAATTTAACCTGTTCCGATAAAACACTATACCTTACTTTTACTAGGACCATCAAAACAAGATTTAAAGTAACCAGAGGATAAGACACAAAATTTGTTGGTATGGATTTTGGAAATATTTTGGACTGCGGCCCAGATATCATATAAAATACATAAACACATGCTTTTCTGTATCCGATTTCCCTCTTTATTACTAGTGCGGCCTCGAAAGAAAGACACAAAAGGTATCTACACATTTTTAGCATCTCTATGTAAGTTGAGACCATGATAAGAATACGTTTCCTAAGTTTTCATGATTGATAATTGTAGAATAGTTAAAAATTAAAATTATAACAATTACGTGAGTGCCTGTAAGTGAAGAGAGGGTAGTTTGATCACACGATTATTACACTGATAAGTTAAGGTCAAAAAATTATTTCACTCTATAAAAACTCTTACTAATGTCCTCATTAGTCATTACAACAACTCACAAGAACGATATAGAAAAATATGGATCCTCCTCGTATAATCCATTTCCTCTGCTTAATCTTTTTCACACTCGCAAACACTTCACACTCCCTCGAGAAGATTCAAGCTTTCCTACAGCCTATTCGTAAAGACGATGCCACAAATCTCTACTACTGTCCCTTATCCATCGGCATGTCAAAGTCCAACGGTGTAAACCATCTACCCATCAGCGTCAACCTCGCCATCGACCTCGGTGGCTCTGCGCCGTTCTTGCTAACTTGCGCCGCCGCCGTCAAATCCATTTCCTACCACCCAATCAAATGCGGCTCCTCTAGATGCACATATGCCAAACCGGACTTACTCTCCTGTCCCAACAACAGCAAAAAGAGAGCCACGTGTCACAAATCCTTCTCCACTTCCTTCACTGTCCATCCCATCAAATCTCGTCTCTTCCGAGACACAGTCTCTTTGCTATACACCCAAAACGGCTTCACCGCATGGACTCCGGAATCGATTTGCCGTTGACTGTAGCTTGCACGGACATGTGGAACGTTGACCCATTGATCAAACCTTACTTGTCGGTTGTTAATGGGACATTAGGTCTCGCCAAGACCCATGTGTCTCTTCCTTCACAGCTCGTTTCTTCATACAAGGTACCGTTAAAGGTGGCTCTTTGTTTGCCTTCTAGCTACGGAAGTCCATCTGGATCCGGTGCTCTTTACGTCGGTGGTGGTCCTTATTTCTTTGCGCCTTACCCTAATGATGTCTCTAAGTTCTTTGCCTCCACTCCACTTCTCGCTAATGACCAGTCTCCTGGTGAGTACTTCATCGATGTGAAATCCATCCAAATCGGCGGAAAGGCGATTGTTATCGCTAAGAAAGGCACAAAGATCTGCACTTTGGCTCCTTACACCGTCTTGCATAGTTCTATATACAAGGCTTTGGTCTTAACCTTCGCCGGGAAAGCCAAGATGGTTAAAGCACCGGCGGTGAAGCCTTTTGGTTCATGTTTCAGCTCCAAAGGACTTGGGAAGACGATGATGGGAAGTGGTGTTCCGGTGATCGAGTTGGTGCTGAGTGGTGGGGCTAAGTGGAAGATCTACGGGTGGAATTCGCTTGTGAAGGTGAGTAAAGATGTGGTTTGTTTAGGGTTTTTGGACGGAGGTGTGAATCTGAAAGAGGCGATGGTGATCGGAGGTTTTCAGATGGAAGATAACTTGGTGGAGTTTGATATCAAAGCTTCTAAGTTCTCTTTCACTTCTTCTCTTTTGCTTCGCAACGCTTCTTGCTCACAGTCAAGACTCTTCTGATTCGAGTTTGGTCTTCTTTTTTCATTGGTTAGTAATGTTGAAGGATCTTTACTTTTGAGTTGTTCCATCTGTTTGTTTGTTTTGAAACAGTCGATGCATGTTTCTTCGTAGGCTCCAACATTACCTATAACTAGCCAGGGTGAATAAAATGAAAATGGACATGTCAGATGTGTATAATAGTTGTTGCAAGATTATTAGATTGAAAAGAAAAAAAAAGATTATTGGATTGTGCCAGAAAACATTAACGATCCGCACACATAATTACGAGTTTCCCGTGTGACTTAACTACATTCCGACTGTCCATTTTGTTGGTCAACAACGTAACATTGACTTGATTGTGATTGATCTAGATTTAGATCAGAGTTCGATATAGCATTACAAAATAATAAAAATTGACAACGGACCTTGAAAATTAATCACACTAAGATTTATAAAAAATCCATGTGCACCAGCCGGGAATCGAACCCGGGTCTGTACCGTGGCAGGGTACTATTCTACCACTAGACCACTGGTGCTCTTTTGTTAATACTGTGTTCATTGCCTATTTATCTCTCAATTTCAGTTCCCCACATCAGTTCCATTATTCTCCAAGTTTTGTTTCCTTCGTGTGGAAGATCGCAAATGTTTTTTTTTTGTTTCTTTTGTTGTGGGATGAAGTAAAAAGGCATGATTATATATAAGATTTTTATTAATAACACGAGTCCAGACGAAAAGAAGAAGACAAAGGCATTAGGATTTTTTTTGGCTCAATGGGCTTAATTGGTTTATAAATTAAAAAAGGGTGCTCGTTTGGTCTCCTTGCATCATATGTAATGTATGTACACTAGAAGGAAGATTTTTTACAAACAAACCACTATAAATTGTTTGATCGGTGATACTTTAGTTTGTGTGATACATGGAGTTTATATAAATCTG